CCCTTTCTTTAATATTACTAAATACCATATAGAGAAAAATGAGAAATCAGAACATAAAATGGTTTTCTTTTATTCCAGATAAATTTGTCTCTTATTTCTGATGTTCCTCTCTAGTTCTCTTTCACACAGACATACACATACACTACTTACTGCATAATAATGACATTAACTTGAATTTAGATTTGAAGCACAATGAACAATGTATATTTTAATTTTTTTCTATTTGTATGAAACTAACGGTTATTAATTTTCTGATAGCTGATCTCTAGGATTTCAATGGATCACCCCCATCATACTCTCTTCATTATATTGGCCTTAGCAAATGCAAACAAAGATGAGCTTTTGAGCAAACCAGAGGCAGCAAGAAGGAGTAGAATAACCAAAAATGCACCTAAAGAGAGCTCCCAGCTTGATGAGGTATTCGGATTAAATACAAGTACCCTTTGTGTTATGATGATCATTCTTTCTCAGAATATTCCTTTCTTAATTCTCAGAGATTTTAGGAATATGTGTTGCTGGTAGTATTTAGATTCTAAATCCTTTATTATGATGATGCCTCTCAAAATTGATTAACAATTCCTGAACATTTTCCAGAGCATAAATACTTGGATTTGGTTTTGTTTTCTTGTAGCAATGGACAAAGAAAAAGAGATTTTAAAATACATTTTTTATCTTTAATATATGTGAGTGTTTGCATGTGTATGTCTGGTGCCCACAGAGGCCAGAAGAGGTTTTTAGATTCCCTGGACTTAGAATTGGCACATGCATGCTAGGAACTGAACCTGGGTCCTCTGAAAAGCAGCAAGTGCTCTTAACACCAAACCATCTCTCTAGCCTCAGAAAAATAGATTTTTTTCAAAAGTACCCAATCATTAACCTTGAATTTTTTATGTGTGCATTTCATTTCCTGTATAGGTGGTTTGTAGTCCTTCCATTGTCTAGATACAAATTTTCTTTTATGTTCTCCAAGAAGCTTAAATGTTTAGTGGTCCTTGTTCTGTCTTTCTTTGTTCCTTGTTGTTGGTGATGATAGGACCGAACAGAGGCTGCAACCAAAATAGTACATACCATCAGAAGTAAGAGGTGTAAGATGGTGAAGGACATGGAGGCGCTCTGTGATGCCTACATTATACTGGCAAACCTGGATGCCTCTCAGTGGAGGAATCAGAGAAGTATGTTTGAAAGTGTTGTTGCTGCTGCTGTTACAGCTTGACTTTCAGTGATATTCCTTAGTTTACTGTTATCACTAAAATCTCTTCATTTTTAAATGTAGAAGGCATCAATATTCCAGCAAACCAGCCAATCACCAAACTGAAGAATTTAGATGATGTTGTTGTTCCCACTATGGAAATTAAGGTAATTTACCATTAACTCTTGGTTTTTTAATAAGACTAAATTACACATTAGTAAATTAAATTATTTGTAGACCTTTTTATGTAGTCTAAATGGCTGATTATTGCAGTTTCATGTGTTTCCACTTAGATTGTATTAGATTTCCTTTGCCTGAGCCTTGAAGTCGGCACAAGCTTCTGAGAATTCCCATTGTTTCACTGTTATTTTAGTATATGCTGGGCAAGTCTTTTTATACTTTTAATTTTGTGACGGGGTCTCACTGAGTTGACCTTGGACCTGCTCTGTAATTTAAGCAAGCCTGGAATTTGGCAATCCTCCAGTCTCAGCTTCCTTAGTGTGTGGGACTGTAGGCCTGTGGCCCATTCGTTTGTTTCACTTTATTTTGCTATTCTTTTTAAGTGTGTGCATGCATGCCTGTGTGTGGGTATGGTGCCCATGTTAGCCAAGCACTTCAGCTGAACTGTACCTGAGTCTCTTGGGGTTTGCAGGTGTATACCACCACTGCCCACAGTTTGCTGTAGTTGTTTTGTTTTTAAATAATTCGGTATACAGTGGAAGTATTGGTTGTGATGTATTATATTATTTAGTAAAACAACAGATATTACAGTACTTTTAAGTTGCTGTATGTACATACTAAATTTAGCTGTTCACAGTGATCTTTTATTCCTAGAAGTACCATGTGGGCAGGATGTACATAACAGTTAAGGTTACCGTTTTAGAAACTGATGTGTTAAGTACATGGTACATCTTTCCTTCTAGTTTGTACATTAAAATTAGTATCTTTTGCTACTGAGTTTGACCTGTTACTGCATCATATGGGTTAGCAGATTTAGGCTATGTTTTTTAACTGAATATTTCTTCGCTTTTCAAAATTTACCTGATGTTCTTGTGAATTAAATAATTTCTTAGATGATTTAGCATATGTAAATGGCAACTAAGTTCTAATTTTTCAGTAGTTTTTCAGCAACACTATTCTTTTTTCCCTCTGTATCTTTGGAGCCTCCAGCTCACAGAGATCTGTCTACTTCTGCCTCCCAAGTGCTAGGATCAAAGGCGTGCACTACCACCACCCAGCTTTAGCAGCACTATTCTAATTGACTTGAAATACTGAAATTTTATTAAAATATATTTAAGAAAGTAAACTAAATTATATGTGATTTAAAAATCTGGAGCTCAACCCTGGGACTGACATGGTGGCACACACATATATGCTTACCCAATGTACACTCACACACACAGAGTAAATAAGCAAGTGAAATAAAATCTATCAATGTTATTTATTCTAACTTTAAACAAAGTAAGTTAGAGATCCAGATATTAGTCAGCAGCATGTTCTCATTTATTTTTCTGCTTACTATTTATAGTTTGTTTTTCTTCAATGTTCATTGAAGAAAATTAACATTGTTTATCTGACCTATAATAATTATTTTTCATAATTTATTAGGTTGATCCCACAGGAGAGTATGAAAATCTGGTGACTATAAAATCATTTAAAGCAGAATTTCGCTTAGCAGGAGGTTTAAATTTACCAAAAATAATAGACTGTGTGGGTTCTGACGGCAAAGAAAGGAGACAGCTCGTCAAGGTGAGACTTCCTGTTTCTGGTACAGTCCTTTGAGGGTTAAGGACATCAAGGTCAAGAAAACCTTGAGTCGATGTTTTCTTCTTCCCTCACTTGTCTCTTTGGATCTGGCTTTATCCTGAATAATGAATAATTTTCTGGTAGGTAGGAAACATTTGTGAAGTAGACATACAGTTTGCTAGAACTAAACTGCTTTATTATTGTGTGTAAAGACTATTAGAGAAAGTCTCTTTCCTGCTGTTGTGGATTAAAACCAGGGCCTTGCTCATGCCCAGCAATTCTCTGCTTGGGAGATACATCCCAGCTCTCTTTTAGGTTTTATTTGAAATGGGTCTTGCTAAGCTGACTGGGCTGGGCTTGACTTCGGGACCCTCTCACCTCAGCTTCTGAAGAAGCTGGGATTGTAGGTCTGCACTATTGGACTTAGCAGGCCCTTGTGCAGTTGATTCAAGAGAAAGAATGTTACCAAGGCGTACACACGCCACAAGCTTGCTTGTGAAAACAGCTTTTGGTGGTAGTTAGGAAGGATTTAAGGCCTTTGCTTAATATACTGGGCCTGATAGTGTGCTGCCTGCTACTGTACTGGAAAGTAACAGCATCCCTTGCTTTGCACTGCTTGCGTAGGTGCCTTTGGGGTCTGGCTAAAAACAGAAGAGAGAGGAAATATTACTTTATCTGGGTGTTTTGTATTGTACCTTCAGGTGAAGTAGTTCAGTTATTAGACAAGCAGTTAGGAGAGACTTAGTCTTTTGTATTAGTCTGCTTCCCACTCTCATAGTGTTTTCTAAATGAAAGAATGACAGTAGTCATTAATTATTCAAGAGACTCTGAAGAGGAGCATAGCTCAGATTGATTTCTGAGTGCCTTGTAGTGCCTGTTCTGATGACCGTGTGCTTATAATAAACTGTATGTGCTTACAATAAACTGTATCTGTTTATGTCTGTTGTTCTCAAGGGCCGTGATGACCTGAGGCAAGATGCTGTCATGCAGCAGGTGTTCCAGATGTGCAATACACTACTGCAGAGGAACACTGAGACTAGAAAGAGGAAACTGACTATCTGCACATACAAGGTAACATACTGGCTTCTATTCTGGTGCTTCACCAGGAAAAGTGCACTATTTAGACCAAGGATGAGCAAATGATTTCTGTGAAAGGAACAAATAGTGAATATTTTAGACTTTGAGAAACACTTAGAAGCCATAGACTGCCACTCTCGGGTTGGACAATACAATTTTAATTTTCATTTTAGTATCATTTAAGGTTATTTGCCATTAGATATTTTCTATAGGCAACTGAAATAGCCTCCCATTATTGTATTAAGCAATGTACTATAAGGATTATGCTGTCATTTGTATGTATGTACATGGTGTATTTTATAGGTCCTTACTCAGTACCATTTAGGTTGTTTCTGGGCTTGTGCTCTACAAACAGTGATGCTCTGCATTGAACAGATAAAGTGAACATGCATGTTTCATTCACACTCCGGTCAGTCTATTGGGAAGCTTTCCAAGAGTTGGTTGATAGGTGAGAGGACACATGAAACTATAACTCAGTAGATTGTGCTAGAGGATGGTCAATGGAGTCAGACCCATTTCCATGTCCTCCGCAGTTTACTTAAGAAATCTTCAAATCATGTTATTCTATTAGCTGATTTTGGCTCTTTAATTAACTCTTAATTAGTTAATTAATGCAAGCCAACACTTTAATAGTTAAACATTTAGATGTTAATTATCTTCTTCTAAGAGACAAAATTCCGTAGTTTTTCCTTTTCTGGCTTTGTTCCCAGGTCTCATTCCTTCTCCATCCTCTGTCACTGCTGTAATAGGACTTACTGCTGCTGCATTTTCCTTTTCCCAGGAGGACAGGAATAAACTAAGAAATATTTAATTCACCTAGTCAAGAATCTGTTCTTTCCAGACAGTCTCCCTATTTGGTTCTTTTACTTTCAGAAGGGTAGATGCCGTGTTTTCTCTAGAAATTTTTTTAGGAGCTAACCTAAACAGTCTTTTTTAAAAGTACAGTGGGAAAATGTTCCCTTCACAACAGTTAAAGGGTATGTATATTGTACTTACTTCAGCAACACAAATGCTAAGATTGGAACAATACAGAGAAAATTAGCATGGTCTCTGCACAAGAAGGGAAAAAAAAGAGTATGTAACATGAATAAACTACCTAAGACTGGTGTTAACAACATGAATATAGGAATTGATAAAATAATTAGGAAAACATAAAATGTGCAGTAAAACAGATAAATCTTAAATGGGATGGCATTGAAAAATACCAGCTTATTTCAAAATAATTTTTGACAATAAAATTTCAGTAAAACATTTTGTAAGTTTTATTGAGTGCTTACCTAGCGCGTATGCAGCCCAGGGTTCAATCTTGCACTGGGGTGGTGTGCTGATGGGGGTGGAGAAAATCTGTAAAACTGAATAAGTGTTAAAGCATTTTCAGGCATACATTTCTAAAAGCCCAGTGTGTGTGCCTCCAGCTGAGTTACTTTACCAGCCCCACGGATGTTTTAAAGACTAATTGTCAATTAATTCTAAAAACAAAAGTTAAGGGTCTGTGAAAGCTGTTTTTTTTTTTAAGATTTATTTTATGTGTATGAGTGTTTTCCTCACATATGTGTCTATGCACCACATTGTGCATGGTGCCCTTGGAGGTCAGATTACCTGAAACTGGAGTTACAGCTTGAACTGCTGTGTAGGCACTGGGAACTGAACCCAGGTCCTCTGCAAGAACAAGTGCTCTTAACAGCTGAGCATCTCGCCAGCCCCAAAGCTACTTTCTTAATGTAGTTCAGATTATTAGTATTCAAGCTTCAGTAGCCCTTACCACTTACAAGACATGTGCTCCCTTCTTCCCTTTTTTCTCTCTCCGCCTCCCCTTCTCTCCCCCTCCACCTCATTATTGTATGTGTTTGAGACCAGGTCTCCATGTAGCTAAGGATAACCTTGAACTCCTGATCTTCCTGTCTCAGTGCTAGGATCTCAGTGCCTGGGATCACAGATTCCACCACTGTCCCTGGCTTTTGGAGGTTTGTTAAAACAGATGCTCAGGATTTCTGTCAGTTGATCTGAAGTGGAACCCAAGACTGCATTTTACCTGGATGCCGAGTGGTGCTGGGGACCACACTTTTGGAGACCCTCCAGTCTAAGTCTTGTGCTTGATCTGAGGGTTAAAAAGCTCTTAACTGTTTCCTGCCTTAGAGAACAGACGCTCTAAGGGAATAAAAGAAGTTTTTATGTTCTAAGTCCCACGCTTTCAGAGTATGCAGTTGACAGCTGAAAGGTTAGCTTTTTGTTTGGGGTTGATGTCCTTAGGTTACTGAGCATCATAGCAGTGTGGGACTTTGGAAGCCATTCAAGCCACTAGAAAAATTTACATGTGGATTGTGGCTCAGTAGCCCTGGTCCCTGTACTCTTGGGAGATCTAACCTGCTTTTAACGACTCCCTGTTTGTCCTTCATTTGGTCTCTTAAAAATAGACCTGTCATCTGCACATAACAATCTGGAAGGACTGCTTCCTATAAGGTTAGTTGTATAGAGGGCTAAGGCATCTCGAACTCAATAAATGTAAAGTAGAACTCTTGGTTAACGATCCTTACTTTCAAAATAACCCCTCCTCCTGCCTCAGCTAAAGGTGCTGCTGTCAGGCAGAGTAAAGCTTAGACACCTTATTTTGTTTTACAGTGATTTCCTGTGCGGGGTTGGGGGGATAGCACAGTGGGTAAAGTGTGTGCATTGTAAGCATGAGGTGCTGAGTCTGAACTAAAGGCTTCCTTGGGACACAGAACATAAAGTAGTTCTACATATCTGAATATAGTAAAAGAAAAAAATGTTTAGAATTAAAGATACCATAAAAAATGGGATCCATAGAGAAAGTGAATTGTAATACTTTAACACAAAATTATTGTTTTATTCACAAGAAATTTACATGTAGAATATATCAACAACTCCTACAGGGAATTTAAAGATTGTCATATAAAAAATAGGAAAGAACAGAATTCATAAGAAAAAAATTGAGTGGCCAGTAAATCTATCAGGATATTCTGTTAGTCATCTGAAAAATACAGACTAAAACCACAGTGTGCTACACTTAGCACAAAAGTGACAAAATGTAAAAGTCAGACAAATGCAAATGTGTTGGAAAAATCCAGTAACAGCTTTCTTGGTAAGTCTATAAAGCAATGGTCACCTTGGATCGTTACTTCACTAAGTTAAAGATAGTACATTCCCTGTGACCCTGTTATATATTTACCAGTGGACTATCACTGCAACAGTATTTCAGGGGAAATTGTGGGGGTCTCCACAAACACTAAGGCCAGCAGAGACTCAGTCTGCAAGAGGCAAGAAGGAGGTCCGGTTCAGCACGACTCAGTAGCTGGTGTTGGTCAGACTTTGAGAATCTGACATTCAGTAGTTTATTTTAGGCATATTTAAGCACAGCACAATTTGGAAAAAGTTTCCCAGTGATAATTAATTCAATCCCATGTGTACAATAAAGCTTAAGACATGACTATATCAAAACGCTTACAAAGTACAAGTGACATAAAATAGGTCTATACATTAGCTGAGAAAGCAGGCCCAAACTAAACAGTGCTCATGGTAAGGGTCTGGGAGAGGGTGATGTTATAGGTTAACTGAGATAAACAAGCTCAAGGGTCTGGAGGAGCTGATGTGGCATGGCCATATAGATAGCACAGAGTTTACCAGGCTTTTAACTATCTCTGCTCCTAGTCTTCTGAGCAGAAAACAGCTTGTACATCTCTCCCTTTGAAAAGACAAAGGTTTTCCTAGTTCTTACCTGTGAGCACAAGGAGCTACATGCCTCCTTCAGGAAATAAGAAAATAACACCAACCAATATAAATGTTGAAATGCAAGCTGGATAAACTGGACGTGTGTGTGTGTGTGTGTGTGTGTGTGTGTGTGTGTGTGTGTGTGTGTGTTGCACACATCCGTGTGTCCTAATTAACAAAAATGTAAGGAAAGTAGCAGGTGCAGTGGTGCATACCTATAATTCCAGCTACTCCAGATGCTGAGGCAGAAGCATCACAAGTTCAAGGATCCTAGACTCCATAATGAGACCCTGTTTCAGAAACAAAGCATAATGAAAGCAGAGTTCATACTCTACTAAATGAACAAATTAATTGTGGATCAATCACGGATAATGTTGAGTATCATTAACATGAATGACCTCTCAGAGAATTGTGGGTACTGAGAGATGAGTAGCTTCTCTTAAATCTAAGCAGAAGCTAGAAAGATCTCAATTTTTGAGCCTAGGTTTATTTCATGCTTTCCTCCCAGGAGTGTCAGGAGCTTCGTCCCCTGTAGGCAGGTGTTAATAAATCCTGGAAAACACTTTGCACTGCTGATGATGAATGGTTATCAATGGTTCTGTAATGTCTTTCTATAATCAAAGGTATTTGATTTCACCTCAGGTGGTTCCCCTCTCTCAGCGAAGTGGTGTACTTGAGTGGTGCACAGGAACCATCCCTATTGGTGAATATCTTGTCAACAACGAAGAAGGTGCTCATAAAAGATACAGACCAAATGATTTCAGTGCCTCTCAGTGCCAAAAGAAAATGATGGTGAGTTGAAAGGTTATTTAGTAGCTAATAAAGCTACCAAATATTATAAAATACAAAATATATAACTTCCTAAGATAACTGTTGAAGATACTACTTAGTTTACAGGATGTAAACTTACCAGGATGAGTGTGTGAGTGAGATAGGAAGGTCTTTACACAATATGAAGTGCCAGCCCTGTCATCTTAGAAATGGAAACATTGTCCTCTTTATACCAGTTTCTTCCAATTTGTGATAAGGTGATTCTTAATAAAACAAACAAAATGCCATTTAAAATAGAGAAACAAATTAAGCCATTTTTACATGAAACAACTTTCTGAAATAATTTTCCTGCATTGGCTGTCTGGTTTAACATTTATTTGCTTGTGGAGTCCCGCAGAGGTTTCCTAGTGAGATCTGATCTTGTGTATTTACCCAGCAGAGCTGCATTAGAGGATGGCTTGACCATGTGCATGGTTACCAGGTGATTGGAAAGGGTCTGCACTTGGCTGTGCTGGGGGGAGGTCTTTTGCTCCACCCCTTCGCATTCTTATAAATAGCCCTTCAGAAGAGACAGGAGGGGCTGGTGGGTAAGGATCTATCCCTCCCGAGGCTATCCTGTATTTCTATCTGTTTCTCTCCCCTCTATCCTTCTATCTAATATCCCTTATCCCTCTCTCCTCAAGAGTACCCTGGGGTAAAAATGTGGGAGCCAGTCTCCCAGCTGGCCTCCCACACTTGCTATTTCAGCAGCATTTATTGAATGCTTCCGGAAAACCAGGTACTAAGCTGAGGCTTCACAAATTTGACAATCATCTTTCTTGTCCCCACTTTATTTAAAGTGAGATGTTTAGGGACAGTAACTTGCTGGTGATCAGTGATGTATCACATAGTAGAACTTTGAGCATTGTCTGTCAAAGAGGTTAAAAATCATGTGGTTTTGGTTTTGGTGGTGGTGTTTTGTTTTTTTTTCCCCTGAAAATTCATTGTGGTTTCTGTCACATGGTTTTTGTTGTTAGCTTGTTTTAAACTGTGTGTGTCTGTGTGTATGTGTATCTGTGTGTATGTCTGTGTGTGTCTGTGTATGTACACCTGTGTGTATGTGTGTTTGTGTACCTGTACGATGTGTGTATGTGGACACTCATGTCATGGTGCAAAGTTGAAGGTCACAGGACAACTCTGTAAAACCAGTTCTCCTTGTACCTGTAGGTGGGAGATTGAACTCAGGTTGCCGGGCTTGCATGGCAACGTCCATGACCTGCTGAACCACCTCACTGGCCCCTAAGTTTGTTTTTTTTTAATATGTGATCAGCATTTGATGGGAGTTTGTGCAGGGCACCTGTGGTAAAGGATAGGCTTAGAGGAGGGAGCACTTGTTGTGCCTGGTGAGGAGGAGTGGGGAGAATTAGATTTTTGAAAGGCTTCCTGAGTGAGTGGGAAGGTATCTGAACTTTGTAAATAAGTAGGTTTTCCAGGTAGAAGCATACAGACAATGGGAAGGAGGCATGAGTAGGTATAGACAGCACAGGCTTAGGTTTTGAGAAGGAATTAATGAGGCTGGTAGTAATTGATTCTAAAAGCGGAGGATTGCGGTAAGATGTT